CCAAATAAAGTTATCAGATAATAGAAATGAAAGAAAAAAGTGCTTTTTTTAGTGCTTTAGTTGATTCTTCTTTAAGCTTGATGGAAATCGAATGACAAACAAATACAAAAATGTAGCATTTGTAGTTCCCTGTGGGATTTTGTTTCGTGGCTCATTAATTGTAAAACAGAAAGCATAAACTGCTAAACTGGCATTAGCTTTAGCCACTTAGCTTCTGGCTAAGTCAAACAAAGCTTAAGAAAAAGACTAACTCTGTGGTTTACACTAAATTCCATGTGTCAAAGACTGCTCACATAACTGCTGAACATTGATACAGAATACAAACACTTTACACCAACATATTAACTGTAAGGCTTAGTTGCAATAGTACAATACAGAGTCATATGATGATACTGTTTACAAATCCCTGAAGACACCAATGTATAATAATGAGGTTTAAACACATTTGTTTGCCAGCGGTTTAATACACAGTCATGAAACCCTCCACCTAAGTTTGCATCGCAAGCTATAAAGACACTATTTAACAATAGTATCAGTTTCTCTTAACATTTGAAGATTTGAACTGTCAGCGAGAGACTTGATGGACCTTTTGCTGTTCTTTTATACAATTAGACAATATTGAGTCAGAATCAGAACAAGATTAAAAACTACTTTTTTAATTTTCTGTTTCCTCCCTTCATAATTTGCCTGCAGACAGACTAATATCAGTCAGTGTTTATAAGTCAGATTAATATGTTTGGTTGTGAGTAAAGGCCAAATTAAGTCTACCACTAAGATTAACTGTATAGTCATTAGAAAACAGTAAAATACATCCAGTCCAGTTTCTCAAGAGTGCACAGTGTCATTTTTGTTAAACATTGTGTTTTGTCTGATTAACAGTTCAAAGCCTGAAAATGTTCAGATTACATCGATAAAGACACAGAAAAGCAAGAAATTAATATATTGGGAAAGCTGCAGGCAGAGAATAACTGTTCTTATTAATTGACTAGCGAATTAAATTATTATTCAATTTTCTTTAGCACAAAAACAAAATGTAGTTAAGTTTCCAGTTTAATTTGCTGCTACTAAAGTAAACTAAAGCCTGCAATCGGTCATGTGACAAACCTGAACCAATAAACTGCAGGTAAAAGTAGCTGTGGGAGTAAAAGTAAGCTTTATAAAACTTCTTCTTCTACAGGCTTTTACTATGTGAACCAAAAACGTCCAGTAGACTTTTCACAATAAAAGCCTAAAAACTATGGGAGGGATTGAACCCTTTGAGCTATCAAGAGGCTTTTAATTTAATATCAAGTCTGCGCACGTGAAATGCTGAGATGTTTATCAGAGATGAAAAAACAGAGACGCAATTCTTGTAAATGTTTTTTTCAGTAAACTAACCCTTAGAGAGGATGTAAAGTGCTCTCATTTGTGGATGGTATTGTTAATTTGTTATCAGAAACAGTGATTGATAACAGACTGTCTGATTCTGACAAAAAAATAATAATCAGTGATTAGTTGGAATCAGCTGATTTAATATCAATCACTAAAATACTATCACTGAATTACTTTCATGGGTGACTGATGGGGGAAGACCAGCAGCTCAAACTGAAGTCAGCAGCCATCTAAGAACCTTCAGGTGCTTGTGTTTAAGGCAGCCATCGCAAAGGTCTTACTATGTCTCAGGGTTGATAGCTGTAGCCTTAGTAACGATCTTCGTGTACTGAGTGTAGATGGCTTCAAATGCCTCATCTCTGTGCATCATTGCGCCGAAGACCATAGGCTGCAAGAGAACAGAGGAACATTAGAACGAGGCTCAACACAAAAAGAAAACAGAGCCACACTTGTTACACATCAGTGTAACAAATGCATACTGTATAGAAATCTGTTAAAGTATTTAGAGTACATCACTTCTCATACTTATTAGTGGTACTTTTACTTGTCAGAGTGTATTCTTACATCTGTGAAATGCTTCTTCTAAATGAGTAAAAACAATTTTAGTTTCTTTGCTATTCTGAACTGAGCTCTTACTTTTTGGGTGGATGGTGTCGCAATGGAGATCCCCATCCCAGACCCAGGCAGCACTGACAAAACTTTGTACTGTGAGAAACAACAGAGCAGATCAGAGCAAATTCAGACCAATGCAAGGGGAACACATGTGCAAGAAGAGCAGACACGTTAGAAAGGTTTTAAATATCTGATGTTAGAAAGTAAAAGACTGTTTCCTGAATAAATGAAAACAAAAGCGGCTTCAGTACCTGCAGCACTTTTTGTTTCAGGTTTTTACTCCATTAAGACTTTTCTAAGAACTAACACTGCAGTGTAGTGAAATGACATGTCTGCTTTCTTTTTATTTTATTAATTAATTAACAATTTAATCTAATCAAAGACACTCAAATGTTTACACAGGCTAGTTACAGTGGCTTCAAAAACACAAGCTAATCAGGAAATGACATCACAAAGTAATCTAACTGAATATTATAAACCTGGGAAGCATCAACAATATTTCTAAAGTGAACACTTACCTTCTGGATGTCAGTAATGTCGAGCAGTTTGATGACTTTGTTCCTCTTTGAGGACCCGGACCTGGAGCTGGAGCTCTCGAAACACAGGTAACTGTAAAGACAGCAGAGACTCTGTTACCTCCCGCTCCTACAACGCTCTGCAATGGTGATTATAAGAGATTATAAGCACTCAGAACATTTATGGCACCCATCCACCGAGGATCAGCAACACACCCTAATGGAAACTTGCATACCCGATAAGCCAAACATAAGAATAGCCCAGCTCTTTCATCAGACACCCTGGCAGTTTATTTTCTTCTCAGAAGTCTGAAGTAACTACTGTTCATTATTTATGGTCTTTATTATCCTGCATCTCTCACACCAAACTATAGTTGTTCGGGGAGAGACCTTTCAGTGTTGGTACTCCTACACTCTGAAGCCCTTTCCCCTGAGATCATTTTCAAACAGAAGTTTACTTGTCACCTATTTACCGAAGCCTTTGGCTAATAATCTTTTTAACCTTTAACTTTTCAGGTAAAGCAACCTTAGGCTTTCAAACTTTATGTATAAATGTAAAAGTGTCATATGAAATACTTTAGTAAACGCAAGTTTACTGTTTGAATGTTCATACAAAGACAGAACCAAAAATGCTGCAGAGGCTGCGCGATGTCAGAAAACAAATGCGGGACAAATAAATGACGTACTCAACATGTTATCGCTCGCTCTGCTTATTACTACAGGTGCCAAACTTATAGGAGGAAACATTCTGTGTGATGAACAGATGTGACACAGAGTCTCTCTGCTCATTCTGTCAGATGACTTACTTCTCGGTGACATAAAGCACTCCGTTGCGGATGTAGTCTGTCGGTGTCTTCCTGTCTCTGTTGATGAGGCAGCAGCGCCAGCCAGTCTCACACACTGAAACAATCATTACAATTAAAATATTACTGGTAAGAAAACAGTCGACATCTAAAGTCCTTTCTATTAAACTGCATTAGCAAATAGATAATTCCGTTTTAGATTCTTTTATGCATCTGTAAAACAATTTTTTGTCCTTTTCAAGTAGAGTGTACATAAACGTCAAATTTATCTGTTTAAATTTACAATAAAATAATAATATGTGCAAAAAATGAAGGGTGTGAATCCTTTCTGAATCTACTGCATATTATAAGACCCACAAAGAATGATGGGCCAACACTTCAGACTGAGTTGGAAGGATTCATCTATTTTCTCCTGTAGTTCCTTTCTCACCTGTCAGAGGGCGCTCACTCTCTGGCAGGTTAAACACCTCATGAAAAGCTCCTCTCTTGGTGCTGTAGTATCGCCCTCCATCCTCATCCCGACTGACACCCACAGGAGCTGCTGCGGTGAGGCTGCCTCGGCCCCCAGCAGCTATCACCTGAGCAGGTAGACAGAAGCAGGTACACAATTTGCTAATCACTACAAGTAGCAGTGTCTGAAGCATCCCCGCAGTCAGATGTATAATCCAGTGCAAAATCATTCCTTACTTTACATTTTTCTTCTAGTAAGACAGACTTTCTTGTAGCTTTTAAATTGGTCTTGAGCAACAGTTCTTTTCAGATTTTTCTTTGGACACTGCCTGCTTTTTACTCAGTCTCAGAGCAGTCCTGGTACATGATCTTTTTCACTGGAATGTGTTTCAGCTCACCTGATGCGGTCCTCCAATACTGCTACAAATTTTTTATAAGGATACTTCAGTTCAGCCTGGAGGTAAAACGAGCACGTTTCCACTCAAAAAAAGGAAAATTGAAGGCTCTGAATTGAATCTGAATGAAAATTCTGCCAAATTGAAGAACTTAACCATAAATTGTCCAGTTAGATTTTAGCTTCTCGCAGAGGTATCAGTATCTTTGACATGCAAGCATAAATATCTAATCTGCTGTTCTTTACAGCAGGAAACCTTCTACTGACCTTTACTGTAATCATCACACAGGACCAGAGCTTTTAAATGTTTTAAGCTGCTGCATCACCCATACTCCCCCCAAAAATGTACTCAGGTATGCTGGAAGGTAGGCTGAAACTCAGTGTACGTGCAGCTCAAGACATTAGTTGGGAACAAACATTAACTGTGTCTGTTAACACTGGGTAGGATACATCCGTCAGCAACATTAAAAACCCCTGTCTAATATTTTTAGGATCTAGTTAAAAAAACCCCAGCTGTGATAAGTTGGAGCATGAGATGCTGCCAGAGGATTTGGTCGTGTCAGAAGCGTAAGCAGAGCGCCCATGGGTAGGTCACAACTCAGCTGAACAGCACATTTTAACCTCTTAACATCTACCAGGTCATCCACAGCCTGTCTGGGGTTAAATTTTGGGGGGTGGAATATTTACCTAATTTGTTTTGCCATGTAGAAATGCTCTAACAGAGGATCTATAACAGTTTAAATACTCTGGATTTGAAATGTAACATCTTCAACTTTCTTTAGCACGTGGCTTAAATACTCCAAAAAGCTAACCCTCCCCCAGTGAGCTTTGCTGGTGACTTGGTGTTTGTTAAGCAGTTAACAAGATGATCAATCATTATTTCACCTGTCACTGCTTTTAATATTGAGGCTGGTTGACATACATTGTTTTCTGATTTAGGTTTAAATCTAATCTCTCATTTTATGGGATGTAGTAACTATTTTACACTTAGAAAAAGAAGACAACAAAACTTTATTCATTCTTACCTGAACTTTGGCATTAGATCTTACTTGGAGGTAAATCACAACATTTGTGCCAGATCTACATTTGTTAAAAGGGTGAAGCTAAAGGAAAGGTCACAGGATCATCTGAATATAAAGTGGGAAAATCTGACTAGTACGCCAGGTGTAGTGTTTACGATTCGGGACGTCCCACCCTAAGAGGATTTTAACCAGATAGACCAACACTTCAGCAGCTGATTGGTTACAGCCAGTGATGTCAGTCAAAATATCTGATCACAACTCTCACCACAGCACACACTATGGGCCTCTACACTGTGATTGTAAATATAACACACACACACACACACACACACTCAGCGCACAATCCTACCTGTTCAGATTCAGACAGCTGGGAGAGAAAAATACAACCAGACCAGTAAGAACCAGTAACAAGTGCTGGTTTTTCCAGCCTATGATCTCACTACTGCAGGGTTTGTTCCTTTACGTCATGTAACTGACACAGACTAACATCAGCCCGGTGCTGAGATCTCTGAGCTCCGTGTGTAGATGTATGCAGGAGTTTGGACTCACTCGTCGGCCCAGCATAGTGTTGCTGCGCTCTTTCAGCTGCAGGTCGGTGGGTAAATTTGTCCAGATGATGTAGGGGGTGTCATAGCGCTGCCTCAGCTTGGGACAACTCTTAAAGATGAAGTCAATGATGAAGAACTTGATACCTGCGTATACACCTGAGGATTAAAGAGTAAAAATCTTTTATAGTGCATATACTGGACAAAAAAAAGTTGAATATGAAGCTGCTAAGCAAGATGCAAAGAGGAAGAAGAAGAAGATTCATGGATGTATTGAAGGAGGAAATGCAGAATGGTGCTGTGGCTAAAAAGGATGCTAGAGACAGGAGAGGACAGAGGCACACAATCTGCTGTGATGACCCCTAAAGGGACTCACCACAGCCATCCCACCCATCCCCAGCAGAAACGTTCATTTCCATCAAAACTATAAGGTTCCTTCAAAATGAGCATTCATCTACATTGTTGGACTTAATAGACACTTGTTTGAAATCTTTATCACAGGTCTGCATGCCTTTTTAACAGGCAGTAATCAAGAAGATTCACAGGAACATCTGGCCTGTTATATATAGCTGTTTTCACACGTGTACTGGATTCCTCACCTTTTATAGTGCACATGTGAACACAGATATCTGATGCACCCTTACACCCTTTGTGTGATGTTGGATTGTGCTGATGTGTGAATAGCACAGCTAATGTTTCAGTGTATTCTCTGCTAGTGAGTGGGCACCATATGTGTTGCCTACTGCA